GGAGGGCAAACAGGAGACCCGTGGGTTGGGGGTCAGGAGGTCAGGACTGAAGTCAGGGAGCTGGAGTCTGGGAGACGTGGTCAAAGTCAGAAGCACAGAACCAAGGCGCCAGAGCTGACGTGGTCGCAGCTTGGGTCACAGGTTTTAGGGGTAGGTGGCCCTTCGGACAAGGATTCTGCCTTCTGGAGGCGGAGGAAAGGGAGACCAGTGCTGCGTGTCTGTGTGTCCAGGCCTGACAAGGAGGGACTTCACTCTTGAGGTGTCTCTCAGCCTGAAGCGAAGAAAGACCTGTCTGTAGTGCCCAGGGTCGTCACTACCAGCCGGGGCCAGAGGTGAGAGCCACTGAGAAGACATCCCTGGCGAGTGGCACCCTGGCCATCCAGAGCCTCCGAGGGCGGGAATCAACAGGCAGACCATATGAACAGAGGCTTCTCGGAGGTGTTCACGGCCTGAGCCAACGGCGGGAATTGCTGGGACGAGGGACCTTGCCCAGGGAGGGGGCGCTCCCCTGGTAAGACCCGCGCACCACCCTCTCTGCCGGCATCACCCTGTCCCCACCTCGTGCCCTCGTGGCCGCTGTTGACTTTCCTCACCTGGATACCTGATGTTGTTCAACTGAGAAATGAAGGTGCTGTAGTACGTGTTTTCACCGTAATCCTCGACCTGTGGGAGAAGCACAGAGCGGTCGATCTAAGGGAGAAGGGACCTCCATCTGCTACGGTCTCCACCCACCCAGACGTTCGGTGGCCCTGCGGGTTGGACAAGCCTCAAGGGCAAGGAGGAGGCAGCTCATCCATGTCCCCACTTGTGTTGGGACAGATAATCTGGCTGCTCTTTGCCACCAACTGCCTGGGCTCGCTAGTCTCTTCCAGGGACACAGGCTGAAGCATTTTTGGCAACTTCCAGAGAAAGAGCTTCTCGGCGGTGACAGGTGAGGCCCTCGGGGAATGGGGGTAACGATACCCCCAGTGACTCTGTTTGGGCAGGGTCAACCTCAGGAGGGTTCACTGTGGTGAACAGGACTTGGTCTCATGTGCTGCCTTCTTCATCCTCAAGACTTGTGACTGAGCCAAGGACAGTCGTCTGTCCACGGGAAAGCTGCTCCGATTTTGCCCACTGCCAGGTCGCTATTTTTTTGTATGGGTGTTGACTTTTTAGAAGTCAGAAGAGTTGCTGGGGCACCTGGGTGGCTCAGTCAGTTAAGCATCCGACTCTTGATCTCGGCTCAGGTCATGATCTCACGGTTTGTGAGATCGAGCCCCGAGTCGGGCTCTGCACTGAGAGCTCGGAGCCTGCTCGGGATTCTTTCTTTCTCCCTCTCTCTCTGCCCATGCCTCAAAATAATAAATAAATCAACTTTAAAAATCTATAAAAAGAAGTCAGAAACAATGCTTCTGGTGAAAAAGGTGAATTTTCAATGGTTCTCTTCAGTCAGTGGTGTTGATCGATTCTTCTTCCCCTGTAATGTAGTCTTTTTCTCTCAAAATATCTTAGTACCTGCACTCACTCTTCTTGTGATGATGTGAGATGATAAAATCCTACATGACGAGGTGAAAGAGGTGAAGGACATAGGCAGGGTGACACAGCAGGAGGCTACTGTTGACCCTATGATGATACATCAGAAGGAGTAACATCCACTTCTGGGCCGCACTTGACCGTGAGTAACTAAAACCTCAGAAAGTGAAGTCAAGGATGGGGGAACTACTGTACAATATGCAGCCTAACTTATCACAGCCTGTGTCAGGTTAATACTAAATTCCAGTAAAATATAGCAACTTTGCTCCAAGATAGCTCTATTTCTTTCCCACCAATTCTCCCATTTTTGTCATTGACATTACATCCATATATATCATAAACCCAACAATACGTAGTATAATGATTGCTTTAAACAATCATTTTTTTTAATTTTTAATTTTTTTTAAGTTTATTTATTTTGAGAGAGACATAGACAGCATGAGTTGCAGGGGGAGGGTAGAGAGAGAGAGGGGGAGAGAGGGAGAGAATCCCAAGCAGGCTCTGTACTGTCAGCACAGAGCCTGATGCAGGGCTTGAACCCACGAACCGTGAGATCACGACCTGAGCTGAAATCAAGAGTCAGATGTTTAACCGACTGAGCCACCACAGTGCTCCTAAAAGAATTTTTTTAAAGACAAGACAAAAATACATGTAGATAGTCTTTTATATTTACCTACGTATTTACCATTTCCAGCATTCTTCATTTCTTTTTGTGGATTTGAGTTACTGTCTGATGTCATTTTCTTTCAGCCAGAAGGATTTTCTGTAATACTCCTTCAGAATTATCTCAGTTTTTCTTTACCTGGGAATGTCTTTGTATCACCTCACTATTGAAGGATGTTTAGCTGGGTATACAATTCCTGGTTGACAGTCATTCCATGGCCTTCCAATGACTTGTTTCCTTTTTTTTAAAAAAATGTTTAAACTTGTTTATTTATTTTGAGAGAGACAGAGACAGCATGAATAGGGGAGGGGCAGAGAGAAAGAGAGAATCCCTCCTCTGCACTGTCCACAGAGCCCAATACAGGGCTGGAACTCACGAAACCGTGAGAACATGACCTGAGCCGAAACCAAGAGTCAGACCCTTTACCATCTGAGCCACCCAGACACCCCCCTTTTTTTTTTTAAAGTAGGCTTCATGCCCAGCATAGAACCCAATTCAGGGCTTGAACTCATGAACCTGAGGTCAAGAGTCGCATCCTGTATGAACTCAGCCAGCCAGGCATCACTTCTGCTCAGTTCTTAAATTTTATATTTAGCCTGGATTCCTTGGGGTCTCTAGGGACCACCTAGGATCGGCATAGCTTTGTGGTCAGTCCACGATTGTAGCAGAGGTTGTGCTCAAACCCCTCGGGCCCAGAAGATTTGCACCCTCTGCTGATGGATCTGTGTGCAATTTGAGAAGCACATTCAAAGTTCAGCCAGTCATCAGGTCAGCCTCAGCCTTTACTTTCTCTCAGGCCATCTTGGGAAGCTTACACAGCCTTCTGTGGCTCTCTCATTTCCAGGATCTCCCATTAAATTTCTGATTAGTCTGTCACTTACCACTCACCCCAACTAGGACTACACCCTCAGACTGTCAGAGCTGCAAATTTCCCTCTGTTTTCTGTCTTTTCTATCAAGCTTGCTGCTTTTACTGATAATGCCCTGGGGCATGGGTTTTCAACTCTACTCCAAGTCAAGTGAGTCCCTCACCCCCAGGCAGTGAAGCTGCTGGTTCTCCTGTCCAGCCTGCCCCAATAAAACTACCTTTCTGACCGGGGCACCTGGGTGGCTCAGTCGGTAAGTATCCGACTTCAGCTCAGGTCATGATCTCTTGGTTCGTGGGTTCGAGCCCCGCATCGGGCTCTGTGCTGACAGCTCAGAGCCTGGAGCCTGCTTCAGATTCTGTGTCTCCCTCTCTCTCTGCTCCTCCCCAACTCACACTCTGTCTCTCTCTCTCAAAACTAAGTAAACATTAAAAAAAATTCTAAAAAAAACCAAACCTACCTTTCTGACCGAGCTGGAGGGTGGGGATAGGGATGGCCCCACTGTTCTTACTCAAAATTCTAGCCATTTTTCACAGAAAAAAATGCCTCAATTTGTTGTTTTCCTTTGGTCCACTTCCAGAGCAGGGATATGGTTGTTTTCGACAATTTCATCCAACTTAATACTTGTTTGGGTGGAAATTGAATTCACTGACCACTTCTTGCCACCTAGCCACAAGTCCTGACCTCCAGACTTTCTGAGAAAAGCAGAGGTATTGCCTTTATCTGGCAGGTTGCTGGTTTCCTCTTGCCTTCAGACCAGTTTATGTCTAGTCAACTGTGCTGTGATCCTAGGTCTTTTAAGTCATTTGTCTGACTTATCCAAGGTCCCCAAGATTGGTGACACAAAAGGAACGCTGACTGTAAGCAAGGGCTGGAAAAGCGTAGATGTTCATTGAATCAGTGCTTCCAAGAGTGATGAGCTTAGAAATAGATGAGGAAGGGCTGGAAGGAAGACCCTCTGTCTACATTTAATACTTTGGACACCAATCAATGACTTCACACGTGTAGTTTCAGCCTACCTTGATGAGGGCTGCCAGCACAGCTAAGCCATCCGGTGCGCTCTGGGCTATATCATAGCTCTTGTATTTAGAATTGTAGTGAACGATATGAACCTGTGAGAGAAAAAGGCTAAGTCAAGGGCAGTTCGTGTAGACTTCAAATGCCTCAGGTTTTCAGGGAGGAGCGAAAAGAAAGATGCTCCACCCGAGGCCTCAACCTGTCCCACATGAACAACTCTGACTTTCCCCCATCGGGGTATGAGATCTACCAAGACCAGAAAGTTCTCCAAGAATGGAAAGAGAATGAGTGGGATCTGGGGAGATCAATTCAAGGGCAACTCAAGGGCATTTCCCTGACCCCAAGCTGGTAGCGTCCAAAGGGCTTGTGTGGGTTCTCTTGAGAGAGGGCATGAATCACCTTGCCCTGGAGGACACTGTAAACCTGTCATCATCCTCAGGACAAATCTACACAAGAAAGAGAGCCCTGAAAATCTAGAAATTCGGCTGAAACACGGGCACCTGGGTGCTCAGTGGGTTGAAAGTCCGATTCTTGATTTCAGCTCAGATCATGATCCCAAGGTCATGGGATTGAGCCTTGTGTCCAGCTCCTGATGGGTATGGAGCCTACTTGGGATTCTCCCTCCCTCTCTCTCTCTCTCTCTCTCTCTCTCTTCTGCCCCTCTCCCCAGCTTATGCAATCAATCAATCAATGAATCAATAAAATTTAAAGATCACATCCCACAAAAAAACATTAAAAAAAAAAAGGAAAGAAAAAAATTGGGCTAAAACCAAAGAAGGCTGGCCCCATCCTGTGGGCTGTAAACCTCTACCCTGCTGTAGGTTCCATGAGCCGGGGACCCTGCCTGAACCACCAACACAGAGCAGGATCAGTGAATAGTTACAAATGAATGAAAAATAAAGTCAACCTTATAGTAACTTGACTGTCACCAGGACACAGTCTTTTTGGCTAAGGAAAGCGACGGTGGGGTTGGAGGAAAAGAGGGCCCGGCCGGGGTCCTCGCAGTACCTCGGCCACATATCTGATCCCATCGATGGTGTGCTCGGAGCCGCTGATCTCTGAGGACTCACCGCCCCAGTGAAAGTGCATCTGCTTGGCTATGTACTCGGTGCCATTGGCGGCCGTCATGCGCATGGTGGGGGGCAGGCTGATCTGCACTGGGGGAGAAAATGAAGGCTGCAAGTGGTGGAGAGGGGGATGCGTCGGTCAGGCAGCTCCCCTGGCCACCTGCCTACTCACGGGGCAAGCCAGTACTCTGCTGGCTTAGAACGCCGCGAGCGGGGTCACCCACGGGGAGGAGGCGGCTGGCACACAGGGCAGGATGGGAGATCGGGAAGGCACACACCTTCCTACCCAGAGCCAGAGGTCAGGGGCAGGGCCAGCTTGTCAACCCGGGGAAGGGGGGAGGCCCTGAGTAAATGTGGCCAGTGGGCACAGAAATCAGAATTCCACTCTCCACTTCTAGACCATCTTGGAATTTCCCCACAGTGTAGGAATAGGAAGGGGGGGCCTCTCGAGACTAGTTTCATGCCTTTTACTACCCAGAATGCTGTTGTGAGGCTGGGCTGGGGTGTTTAAAATCCTCATCCTGGGGGCGCCTGGGTGGCCCAGTCGGTTGAGCATCTGACTCTTGGTTTCGGCTCAGGTCATGGTCTCACAGTTCACGAGTTCAAGTCCCACATGGGTCTCTGTGCTGACTGATGGCACGGAGCCTGCTTGGGATTCTCTTTCCCTCTCGCTCTGCCCCTCTCCCGCTCATGTCCTCTCTGTCTCTCTCAAAATAAATAAACTTTAAAAAGAAAAGAAAATCTGGGGCACCTGGGTGGCTCAGTGGGTTGGGCCTCCGACTTTGGCTTAGGTCATGGTCTCAAGGTTTGTGAGTTCGAGCCCCACGTCGGGCTCTGTGCTGACAGCTGGAAGCCTGGATCCTGCTTCGAATTCTGTCTCCCTCCCTCTCTGCCCCTTCCCCACTCCTGCTCTGTCTCTCTCTTTCTCAAAAAAAAATTTTTTTTTTTAAAAAGAGGAAAGATTAGGTGTTTGATGTCTGTCAAATGTCCCCTTCTTTCCCTCCAAATTGCCGAAAGCAGCAGGGAGCTGTGATCAAGTTCACATGCTGTAAAGCTGGAATCTGGCCCCAAAGATTTTCACATGCCCTTTGGCAGAGCAGGTACTTTGTATTTAGTGCTTAAAATGTGGCCTGCCTCCAAATCAATGCTCGCGTGAAAAGAAAAAAAAACGGAAGAGCCTTTAAAAGAAGATGTACAGGGGCGCCTGGGTGGCTCAGATGGTTAAGCGTCTGACTTCGGCTCAGGTCATGATCTCATGGTTTGTGAGTTCGAGCTCCATGCTGACAGAGTGGAACCTGCTTACGATTCTCCCTCTCTCTCCCTCTCTCTCTGCCCCTCCCCCACTCGTGCTCAAGCTCTCTCTCTCTCTCTCAAAATAAAGAAACTCTTAAAAAATATTTTCAAAATAAATAAAGAAGACGTACAAAGTCATCTGCCGAGAGATTGGAAAGCAGACGACCAGGCCAGAGCTTTCCAATTGGCCAGTTAGCCCCATGTGAGCCATACCAAAGCTCCCGACACGTATGTTTCCCCAAAACACAATTCCCTGCAGAGTGTTTTGATCCTCAGGTTTTATCAACAGGATCACACAGGCTGGATCAGAAAATGGCAGCAACTCAGAGCATGTCCCTGCACCTTTGAAAAGGTGAGACCAAATACCTGTGTCCCCAAAAATCAACTCGCTGAACTTTCCAGATTCTGAAAATCGATGTAACTTTTAGCAAAAGTTGTTCTTCTTTACTGGAAACTAATTCAACCAGGTTCTTATCGGGCCAGGAAAACCATGTGATCTGAGCATTTTCTGTGCTCAAGAAAGGACAGCCAAGGGTCAAGGCCACAAAGGTCAAAGAAACACTGAGGAACTGACCCCAGTTGGAGGAGACTAAGGACATATGACGGCCACGTACAATGTGAGATCCTGGATTAGGTCTTGGGCCAGAAAGAGGACATCAATGA